TGTGTGTGTGTGTGTTGTGTAGTGTGTGTGTGTGTGTGTGTGTGTGTGTGTGTGTGTGTGTGTGTGGTTGTTGTTAGTTAGTTAGTTAGTTAGTAGTAGTAGTAGTAGTAGTAGTAGTAGTAGTGTGTGTGTGTGTGTGTGTGTGTGTGTGTGTGTGTGTGTGTGTGTGTGTGTGTGTGTGTAGGTGTGTGTGTGTGTGTGTGTGTGTGTGTGTGTGTGTGTGTGTGTGTGTGTGTGTGTGTGTGTGTGTGTGTGTGTGTGTGTGTGTGTGTGTGTGTGTGTGTGTGTGTAGTAGTGTGTGTGTGTGTTGTGTAGTGTGTGTGTGTGTGTGTGTGTGTGTGTGTGTGTGTGTGTGTGTGTGTGTGTGTGTGTGTGTGTGTGTGTGTGTGTGTGTGTGTGTGTGTGTGTGTGTGTGATTGTGTGATTGTGTGTAGGCACATTTGGGTTATTCTCACCACGTTTCTCTGTGTTTTTCAGGATTCAACAATGTTCCAACCTCAACCACATGCCGAGCGAAAAACTGGCTTCTGTCTTCTCCTCCCGCTTGTTCCAAACACGAGGACAAACCCCTCAGGAAATTAGCGTTGTGCATGACCTCATCAGCAACTACATTACACTCTTCAATGTAAGTCAAACATATTTATTTTGTTGTCATTTGATAGCATTGATAGTGTTAATGAAATCACAAGGAGACAATGAGGGTGACAATTTATACTTTTGTAATTTGGTACCCAGATTAGGTTACTGATTTCGTTCTTTCACAGTTATCTAGTATTCTAATGGAATACATTTAGTCAGCCTCCCAACCCTGGCAATGAGTTTGTTGCATATGTCCGGAGTTAATTTAATGGCAGAAATATAACGAAGAATAACATGCTTTGGCTGAGCGTACCGACTGTTTTTGGTACGGTTTTTTAGGTTATATTTCAACTGCAATTAAATATGTTTTAATCATATCTACTGTAATGTAATGCTTCCTTTAGATTTTGCTCCTAATTTATAGTGATGATAATCTTCCAAATCTGCTCGTATACTGTATATTACTAGTAATGTGTTTTTATTGCATGTACAGCACTTTGGCTCGACCAAAAATCGCTTTTAAATGTGCTTTATAAATAAAACTTGATTTGATTTGATATAATCCTTTGACAGGTGAAAACCATTCTTTTATTTTGATATTGCATATTGAAACGTATCTTACTTTAACAATCTGGGGAACAGAACTGTTGCTGCCAAATCTCCGTAGTTGGCTTGACTTTGCTGATGGGTGGGGGGGGGAAGGGTGATCAATGTTACCCTTGGAGAGCTGCCTGGCTTATGGGATACGCAGCACAGAGCGACTGCTAATTCCCAACAGAACGCTCGGATCCCTCTTGTTCGGGACGCCATCATTCGCATGACAAATAGCCATTAAACCCAACCAATCACGAGCCCAGATAGCAGTGAATACACTCACCGCGACATAAAACGACATCTCGCTAATTAAAGCTCCAGTTATGTGCTGGATGTCTTCGACGGGGCCTATTATCAGGCTTAAACACACACACACACGCTAGGAGTTTTTTTTCCCTCCAAATCTTCTTTTCCATTCGTGGAACTCCAACAAAGCAAGTTGTTCTCTGAAAATGATAATAGTGTGAAGAAGAAAAAAAAGTTGGAATGTAAAATATCATTTCCCACACGGAGCTTTGTGGAAGAAAAGTAATCACTTGGCGCCGAGCTGTGTCAAACACTCACAGCCAACTTCCTTTTCAAAAAATTAGTTTTAGAAGTGTTAGCTGAACGACCCAATTCTACATTTTCTTGTGATGCCTTTTACTGGATTAATCCAGTCCTCTATTTATTCGATTTAAGGAATAAATCCTACCTTAGAAAGAAATTCTTCAGTTTGAATTCAGGTCTGTGTGTGTCCAACAGGTCAATGAAGAGCGGGTGTTACAGATGGAGAGAGAGAACAGTTTCATCACACGCTGGAACGACAAGAAGGACACCACAGTAAGTGGACCCGCTGAGTCCAAATGGAAGTCACCCACGGGTGTTCTGTTTGTGTGTGAGTGTTCATTGATTTGCCTGCATGCATCGTGGCCTCTCAAATCTGGGATGCATTTGAACGAGGTTCCTGTTTGTCTGGGGGTAAGGGGAGCGTGCTAGGAAAAGGGGCTTTGTTCCTGTTAACCTTTACGAACCAGAGAAAAACATTTGGTTTAGATAACTGGGGGAAAAAAAGAAATCTCATGCTGCTGTTGTTGTTTATTCCCGCTCCTTTCTGCTTTCCCCCGCCCTCCACCTCTCAGAGCACATCTGCTGCTGTGGGTCAGGAGGGTTACTCAGTGGAAAGCAAATCGCTATTATGAAACTGTCAGAGGTGAAAAAAGGGAAAACATTTTGGTTATGGAAAAATATGGAAGAAAAATACAAAAGTTACCCGTTTTCTTGATTAAGAATAATCAGTCAGTGTAATTACAAGTCAGCATGAGGATGATTTTCTCTGGTGGGATAATGGATAAGCTTATTTTAGGGATAATTTAACATTTTGACATCATTTAAGGGGCTCTATTATGCTAATTCCTGGTTTATATTTGTATTTTCTTCCTCTATTGTGACATGTTTCCATGCTTTAATGTTCAAATGTTTTTCCTTCAAACTGCCTGTGCTGCAGAACCTCTTTTCACCCTCTGTCTGAAACCAGAGCCCAGTCTGCTCTGATTGGTTGCTGACCCACTGTCCTAATTGGTCAGCCGTTTAGAGATGTCCCGCCCCTTAGCCTATCACGTACAATGTGTTGGAGCGCTATCCAATAGAAGTGCGAGTGTAGCATAGTTATGTCACTTTGTTATGGGAGTAAACAATGGAGGCTTTTCAGGCAGGGGGGTGTGTTTGAGAGAGAATAAATATTAAAATATTTAAATATAAATGTATTTATTTGAGATTTTAGGCATTTACTTGCACACAAACCTATATAACTCACTACAGGAAAGGTAAAACCTCAACAAATATAGCAAGGCCTCTTTGTGATCTTAGATCAATAATCACCTTTTACATAGGTACTCTTTCCTAATTTGTACTATTATTAATATCAATCCATTTCACTCACTGGCGTCATGTAGAGGTCTCTGGCTTACGATGATGTTGTCAGGATCTTGGAGCACACAAGCTCCAGAGCAATTAAACCCAGTTAACTCAATATCAATAAGTTCATCCAGTCCATGCAGAGCTGATTCATGTAACTCTTAAACTGAAAGAAACATAAAAGAACAAAAGCAAATATGTAATTTCCCTCGCACAGATTTATAAACGCTGCACTTACAGGGGTTATATGTCCATGCAGTTTATTTATAGTGGTATACGGCACAGGTTATACTTCTCCGGGTCTTCATTTAGAATGTTGTGGCTAGTCAGGCCTGAGTTGTTGGAAATAGAGCATTTTTTCATCATCTTTTTAATAACAGCCAATCACAACAAGTATTGGATGTTTGTGAAAACATGTCAAAACATAAACTGTTATCCTAACATGTTTTCTGGAGATGACTCAACTGAAAATATTGAGGTTTGAAAAACGGTTTGGAGCCTTTTCCATTACTGTGTTGAATAAAGAAGAAATTGTTGTTTATTGTGCGTTTTGTCTCTTTTTTGGCAAATGAGTTAAAGGCGCAATACTAGTTTAGGGAGGACTAGAGGAAATCTGTAAAAATAAAATGCAAAAGTGAACAAAAAAGAGGGATGACACCAATGGATGAAGTGTAGGAGGTCCTGACCTCAGCTGAAGGCAGAGGATGACAGGTCAGCCTGCCCTCTGCAAGTGGAGAATACAGCTATACTGAGGGAGTAAGTAAATCAGTGATATAATGAGGTTCAAGCCAGTGTCATACCTTGTAAGATAGAAGTGGCAGTTGGAAATCAATACTTGCATTTACAGCCACGGCGAGTGCAGCAAGTGGATGACTTTGGTAGAGATTAAAAATACCTTGATTCCAGAACATTACTGTTTTTCCTGCACGTTGCTTTTTGTTTCACTTTGTAGACATCTTTCTTTCCTTTATTCCTAAAGTGGTCTTTCTTTAGTGTGAGAAGAGGAGGTAAAAGTGATGCTTAGGAGACCAAGATGGCGCCGTATCTGTGTGTGACATTTTCACAGCTTTTACTCTATAGGTTAGAGCAGGGGTGTCAAACTCAAGGCCCGGGGGCCAAATCCGGCCCGCGACTTCATTTAACGTGGCCCCACAAGAGCTCTGAAAGAATATAATACGTACGTTTATTATACGGATACATGCCCAATTTACAGATAGTACACGTTGTTCCCATTAAATCTTACATGCCCCCAACAAATGCATCTTCCATATAATTTTCATGAATTTGAACTTTTTTGCTTTCAAAATTTCAATTGGGCTTTTTAAAAAGCAAATTCTCACTGAAGAGACTTCAATTATTTGCCCTAGGGACTTCTTGCTTCAGACTGTAGTTTAAATTATGATAGTTATACCCTGGTCCGATAATAATCCATGCAGAAGCAATACACGTAAATCTATACATACGTTTATATAATTAAATATTAGTTATTATATGTAATTTTTTATATAGTCTTTAAAGTTGACAACCGGCCACTTTGTAGTGAAACCTAATTGCTGATGTGGCCCGCGATTGGAAAATGGTTTGAACCACCGCTGAGGTTTAGGAGCACTAAATCATACTTACATATGTTAATCATTTTTAATAGGCAACTGTGTTTCTATTACATACACAAAAAGGCCTCTTTCTGATTGACCATTTCTTGAATATAATGAAGATTGTAAAAAAACAATCAGTTTGTTTTATAATGGAACCAAAAAGAGTATCGGGACAGGCCGGGTTGACATAAACAAACAGGCTTCCCTTTTTAGACCTTACGGGTTAAGAGTAATTTATGCGTCTAGAATCAGGGGTCCCAACACGTCTTGGGATTTTTCAGTAGCTCGATATGATTATAGTGCGTGAGTAACGGTGCTTTCTTGATTTTTTTGGCCTCGAGTTTTTTCTGATTGAAATTATAACCTAAACGAAAACCGGCCGGAACCCAGGACAATTAACGTTTTTTTATTTTAGAATTGTTCTGTTCACCACGAATATCAAATTGGTCGGTGACCGCAGAGATCAAGGAACAGAGCGTGGACAGCGCACTACGCGACACCACACACGGGAGCAGTTCTTGCTTTCTCCAGCAACACC